TTTTGTGAGCCTAGCAGGTTTTGCTGCATTCGCTTTGACATCGTTTTGATCTACGTTGAAGTGGACCCTACCCGAGCCCTGTTTTACAAAATGTATTTAGTACGCGATACTTTCACGTTCATCCTACGCGCGCTTGCATTCCATTCTACAAGGTTTTTCACAGGTTTTAAAACACGCAAAGCTAAACAGCTTAGATCATAATATAAAATAAAATGATTTTGAATAATACATTACATTTATATTAAAATTAATCTTTTTATAACAAGAAAATACTGAAAAATAAATGCTTAATACTTGTCGTCTTCCGCAGTATTCTGTTTTTCTAATATTTTTCATTTCACCTTTGCTAATAGGTATTTATTTTTATATAACTTCATTTCTTTCATATCTCTTCTAATATTTTGAGTATTTTCTTTTTTTTTATATCTTATCTATGTTCTATCAATCGATGATTGATATAATTTTATAAATAGATGATTACATGTAATATACTTCCATTACATGTAATATATTTCCACTTGATGCTGAGGTATCGAGCGGATGTGACTGTCGTAATGCAGATCCCGTCGAATGGTGACCGCTCTGAGAGTGACGAGATGTCTGATGATGATGTTGCTGAAAGGTATGTTGTATTTGTTGTTGCTGCTGAGCATAAAGATACCGATGCACGTTGCCACTCGACTTGCTGTGTTGCAAATAATACGGAGATCGCTCTGAAGCATTTGTCCGAGACCTGAATCAAGATCATTAATCGCCGATCATTTAAATAGATAGCAAAACGCTGAACTGAAATTATTGTTTTTTTTATTAAGCACACATAGATCGCAATAAGACAGTGTAACACTTGTCTATATTTCTGACGTAATATCGTTTAACATTATAAGTATTATCAAAATGCCATTACAACACGCTGAAACAATCCTGCACTCTATCTTTCACTTCGAACGTTGATCCGAATACTAATCTACAATATTTAGATTTCGCAAGACGCTTCGAAAAATGAATCTGGTTTCGAAATTACTTTCAACTCTTTTTACTTCTCTATTAGAAAGGTATTTTGTTTAAAACAAACACAATGCACGTATCTTTTCTTTCTTTTTAGATAAAATGTCAATATTTAATAATCAAATTACAATTTATTATTTTCTTTATGTTAAGATAAAATCTATTTCTAATGGATATCTTTTAATTGATCTTTTCTCTAGAAATTGCTTTAATAATAAATCTACTTGCAAGAAATTCGTCTTGGCTTTCTACACATTCTTCAAGCATTCTCGATACGTCGACCTAGTCTTAGGTATTCCATAAGTAGTTTATACTCACTTAGAAGGATGCGAATCGTTCTGCTTCATAGTGAACTCCTTGGCATGCACGTTTAATCGTGGATTAGTCGTGTTCGCCGTAGTTCCTTCCGTTCTTCCTCCTAAAAAAATATGTCAAAGCTTAGAAAAATTCTTCGATTTTCTTAAAAATAAAATGATATTTAAAAGGTGATATAATAAAATAAAAACTGTAAAATATGAACCTGGAGGACGATAAATTTCCAAGGAAGGTTTACTTTTTAACGTGGTTACGTTATTATTGTTGTTGTTATTATTGTTATTATTACTGCTATGATTATTATTGTTAGTTCCTTTCTGTGGAACCGCATCCCTCATCTGCAAGATTAAACAGCAAATTAATTTCAAGTAGCTGTGCAAAAGAACGTGACAATGATTGTTTACAGACAACTGTATATAGCGTTCTAAATTGATTTCTCTAATAATAGAAGGACAGCCGTACTTTATATTAAAATTTTTCTAATCCTGTCGATACCATTATATCTATGCATTGCTATATCGTTTTTTATCCCCTATGAAAATTTAATCAGAGGCAAACGAACTATAGTGATGGTTAATCCCAACTTGTAAACAATTTATTCTAACAAATGTTCAAACAAATGTAACTCTCAAAATCTATCACAAAATATTCTCAATAAATTAACATACAGATTAAATATAAAAACAGCAATTATTCTAAAGAATTTCTTCGCATTATATTTATTACCTAATTCATTCAAACATCTAATTCCTATACATAAATAATTATAATAAAATCGAAAACATAGAAGAATATGATTCTGCCTCGGAAATAAAGCAATCTCTAGAAACACTTCAGAATGTTCTCTACTTTTCAAAACGTGTAGATTAAAAAAGAAAACGTGCTTGCAACAAAGAGACTCTGATTGTACATGTCGTTTCGGTGGACGAAAAGACGCAGTACCGAAACAAACAGGGGAAACTCACAGTGGAAAGCGTGTGAGAATCATCATCGTTTCCAAGGGCGTCGAGAGAGCGTCGGATGGATATCCTTGTCGCGGTAGGGTGGCAGTGACTGCGGGAACGGCGAACTTGCCGGCAACACGAGCAGTAACTACTGGCCGTCTATCAATTGACACGTGACATGCGAAAAATCACGCGGTTTTCTCGCGTTTTCTCGTCGAATTTTCTTCCAGCTTTTTCCGCGTTGTCGTTCGACCGCGCGTTGATACAGCCGACTCTGATGACTGTCGACTAATAATAGACAGCACGGCCACGAGCGAGCGAGCGAAACGAACCAGCGAATATACAGCCACACGATACGAGCTTACATACGTATTAATGCGCGCTGCACCGCGCTAACAGTGGACTGAAATATCCGACGAGAGTCATCCTCGGCTTCGTGTCGACGAAACACGCTTTTAGGGTGGATCCGAAAATTGTCGAACGCGGACGTCCACGGTTCTTCTCGATGAACTACCGCGTGTTCTCTCGCCTCTTCGAAGTAGAAAGTGATGGAAGTCGCTCTGAAGAGTATGAGTGAAGATAAACGAATATGAAGTCTGAATTAATGATAATGATTAGACTTTATGTTATATTTTAATGTGCACATCGATGAAGTTGTCATATAATTTATATTAAAACTTACTGTGTTTAATGTCTCATTTATGTTTTCTGGACCGTCGAATACAGTAAAATATCAGTTATCCGATTGATTGTTTGGATTTTAGATTCATTAGATTTCATATTATATTTTTATGTGCATAAGGAAGTTATCGTCTAATTTGTACCAAAGTTTACCGTGTTTAATATCTCATTTGCTTTATGTTTCCCTTTGTGTAAAAGTTTTATCTAATGATTTTGTAAACATTTCAGTTGTTTATTGTAATGAGAAAATCTTGGAGACCTGACGCGATTGGAATGTTGGTATTACAGGAATTTAGGAATCCTCGTGTTCTGTATGTCGTAGTGAACCCAAAGTAGCTCGAGTGGTGAATTTCTTAGAATTAGATTACACTCTATTCGCGCCAAGAATTTTTTCACTTAAGTGTACGCAGAATGTGTTTTCTCGTGACAGTGATTAGAACAAAAATATAAATCAGTACAAAACTATAAATCGGCAATCATCGGAAGATCATAGGAATATTATTAAAAATTCATTTTAATAATCTTAAACTGATTCTATAATCTTAAAAAGAAACTTTTTTATTCGTATTATTCATCAGTTATCGTATAATTCAGTGTGTAAAATTACATAGAGTAATGGTGAATCAAGAGTTCAGTGGTTATAACGAAAATAGTAATAGTAGATTATATATCGGTAAAATTTATGATAATGCTACTAGCAATATAATTGGACACTGTTTTAATGAAAAATGGAATGAATGAATAATGAATGGCGCGAACTAGATAATACATAAGTAAAGATATATTATATCCAAGTTTATTCAAACCTGCTAATTTTTTCTCAATTAATCATAATATTTTTATTGCAGTGCATTAACATATGCAAATACATAGCAATGCATTACATTTTGTCTCCTTTATTTTTCGCTGACAGTTATTATTATCAAGGATTGTATAACAGAAAATTAATGTAAACGTAATTAACTTCGATTAAAAATTGAATCGAAAACGTGCGACACGTTTTGGCATCGGTTCTATTTCCGTTTGCGTCTGAAATATCTATGACTAACGCAGTATGCTGCAAATGTATTCACCATTCTTAGGCAAACAACATATACACTAGGCTGTCCTCCGTTTTCCACGAATCTTCATCTTAGTTCCGCTTCCATTAATTAACTTACCTTTGACGCTTCTTCTTTCGTGTGGGACAAACGTGCAACGCGTACCATCTTCGACAGCAATTATTTGATTACAACGGTTGAGAAGATCAACGAGCTTCTGCACCAATTACACTATACGTTTCAACAAATACTTTGTTATTACACCTTCTTCTATACTCAATTCCTATTATGGTATTAAAATTTTAAAAAAGAGAACAACAATTGATTGTAAAATAATTATTAAATAATAAAATAAGATAATCATTCATAAAGTAATAAAAATCTAAAGTTTAATAAAAATGTAACTTTAATAGTAATCTAACCTTAATAAAAACCTAAAAATTTTTTAATGCCTATTTTTCAGTTAAATTAGTGAAGTAAAATTTCAAGATTCCAAAATTCACAATTTTTGTAATCAAGATACATCGTACTTTCGAAATAGATACCCGATGATGTAGTCAATGAAAATTTATGAATCGAGTTTAAGATTTTTACTAACCTGTATTATAATACATCGCAAAACAAGGAAGACTTGTTGTAATTACTTCAAATTTGAAAAAACTGCTTCGAAGTATTGAATGATTCGTTGAAAAGTTTCGAGATAATCGTTCGTTCGGTTAGAATTTCGTTTTACCGGCGCAGAGGACCGGAAGTGAGCCGCGGCACTGACGTCGTTCTCGATGCTGGCACTCGATCAACCGATTCGAGACCGCGAACCTGTATTCAAATTATCGTGATGAATCATCCTTGTTTCTTTGCAATTATACCATCACCCTGAGCACGCCTTTATATTTATTTATGACGTAATTAAATCAATTTAGTGCTTTATTGTTTTTTTCAAATTTTACTAGAATTCTGATTTGATTAACAATATAGCATAAAATAACAATATAGGTAATAACAGACAAAAAATAAATAGAAAATAATATAAATAAAAAAGAAAAAATAATATAAAATTTTCCGATATCTATATATATATTCGGTATCTAAATTTAATATATCTAATTAAGTTTCTCTAGAACTTTTCAGATACTAAACCCATCACTCTTCATTCATTAAAAAAATACTTCCTCTTTTTGTAATCCGACTTCTGCGCAGTTAGCTTATTTCAATAGGCATTCAATTTATTTTCTTTTCATTAGAGCCGTAATTCAGTTCAGTGTAAGTAAAGAAAGAAAACACAAACCTCTAATTCAGATAATAGACGCTTCATATATACACCAAAATAAGAACCATTATTTCACACTGTGTACACTATAATAATTATATTTCTCTTTTTACAGTTTGACTTCGTTTGGGAAGATTCGAGTTTAAAAATTGTATTTTAAAAAATTCAGGCTAGACCCACACTCGAATAAAATTATGAATCGTTAATTTAAGCTACCAATAGATTTAACGATTTATGTTTAATGTTTAAAAACACTTGGGACATTTTATAGAGATCACTAATACGAATTTTTTTATTCAACGATTTTCGAGACCAACATCGATGCGAATATGCTCGGCGACTAGAATTGCGACGTATGTACACCATCGATCTTTAACGCACGTTTGTGTGTCGCGTGTTCACGCCTTTCGGATCGTCATAGTTCGCCGAGGACGGAAGGATGAGCGTTTCGAAGCAATGCCATTTACGCGTGCACATGTTGCGACGATTGAGCTGGATCATCTGCGATCCGTAAGGCCGTCCGTGAATCTTCGACCACGCATGGTCGCACCCACGCAAATGATGCTAGTTCTCCATTCTCGTTGCATACACGCATATGCAATACGACATTAGTATGGTACACGTCGTACCTAGTCTGAACGTCCTTTAAACGCAATCAGCTGTTCGGGGATAACACTTTCAGTTTGACAATGGATATAACATGTAACTACAATTATAGTTTATCTATACTCTATATCCTATTATTATTATTCCTATATCCTGTATTAACTATATTATATTCCTATATCAACTATAGCAATCTAGACACTTTGACACTTTGACTTAGTTGACTTTTGGTATCAATATGTGAATTCTGTCAAAATTTGTAAATTAATCAATAATTAGAAGTAACACATACTACCTTCATTAAATTAAAATTATTTAATACTTTTAATTTAACAATGGTTACAATTACAGCTATAATAATTTATCTATACTATCCAGAAGAATCCAGGTACTTTGATTGACTGCAAAATATAGCAAGACCACAGGTGGAAAACATGATAAGTCACTTTTTCTGTCTTTCATTGAACAGTAAGTTTAAAATTCAATATCTTGTCAAACAATTCTAAGTCAGAACTATATATATATATATATATACATTTGGTTTTAAAATTAAATATATATTTTTGTCACTTAAATCCAAACAATCAGTAAAAATGGACTTATCATATTTTTCTTGCATGATCTTCATATAAATTGACAGCAAATGAATAATTAGAAATAGTTATAAATATATATAGTCATATTCAGTAGAATAATTATAAATTAAAATTATATATTAGCTTTAACAATAATAATATTTTACTATTTACTATACACATTTACTGTTTAAATATCACTGGTTACATTCCAATAGGAACTTTTTCTATTAATTTAGAAAAATCTTGTTAATCTGACTTATAATTTAAAAATTGAACAATCTGAATATTTTAAATGTCTTACGTATTTTTGTGTACTATGTTTTGCATTTTCCATAAATGTAGAAACATCTGTCTAATCATAAATAACAAAATAACTGTAGAAAGTTTACATATAAGTTTCTAAAAATTAATTCGATTGTTATATTATGCTTAAGTTAATAAGTTAATCTTAAGTACCTATAATGATTACAAGTAATCTTTTGCCCAGAGATATAAGTGTCAGTAGTAGCAATATCATAATAATGAAATAATAGCAAAATTAATGTTACAATTGTGTTACTCATGAAATATTTAAATAGTAACAAATTCAAAATAAAGATTTCTTATTCCACTTCTTCCAAGAATAAGAACAAATTGATGAGATATAATATGACAAAAGTATTTCACAAATCATTATATTTATTCATATATATGATTTAGAGGATTACAAACCATGGTAGCAATAAGTCAATTGAAGAATCTATATTTCTTTTAATTGGAAGCATTAAACCATTTATCACTTGATCCGGCCAATGGCTAGTGTTTCGTTTGCACATCATTCGATGATATCTCCTTTTTTTCTTATTTTTTTTAAGCGCTTAACTAATATATATCTTGTGCTTCGTGGGTAACCATAACACGCTTCTTCGTTATTATTGTTATTATTATTACATTGAAAATAATATTATGAAAAATAAATCTTAAATTTCTACTAAATTCGTTTCCGTAATCGTTTTGAATGGCTACGAAAGAACGTAATGTACAAGATTTAAATAGAGTAGTATGTACTACGATAATCGATATTCATTTAAGGTATAAAAATTAGTTATGGTATTCAGGCCGCTTAGAATCCAATCAAATTAAAGGGTATCGAGCACCAAAATCGGTTGTTGCAAAGCATATTTTGTAGAATCTACCTACAAAGTTTCTTATTTTAAACGAGTAATGAAATGTGTTATCATCTTGTTTCGTTTTTCTCTTCGTAAATGTTCTAATACATTCCAAAACGAGATTTCAACCTTATATAATGTTCTTTGTTATCAAAAAACGCATAAAAAATTATAGTACATTATATATGTAGATATGATAATACATTGTGACGCCGTTACTGACGTAATGCTGATTTTTTTACAGTTATCAATTAAATGCTAATACCTCACTTTATAAATCCGACAGAACGATGCAACGAAACATCAACATCGTTTACACATTTTGTTCTGGTATTTTCTACTACAGAAAAATCCGTAAACATTAAACACGATGATCAGCTTATTCGAGCAACTCTGTAGACAGATTCTCGCTTCAACATCGAAAATACATCATTCGATACGTACAGAAAAAGTAGCTTATAAATTATTCTTCGAATACACGCTTTTCTTGTAATACAATACAATTGCGAATAGTATAATCATATATATACGGTATATATATACATTCAATATATATATATATATATATATATACACAATATATATATGCGTTTGTTTGTGTGTATGCATAGTCGAAATGTAATATTCGCAGTGGGAATTTTCTAACATTTCGACCATGTGTGTATATTCGCTATAGTAAATATAGATAAAATTGTAATGCCAAATAGTATGGCCTGTGAACACTTGGGTAGTTTGAAGTTTCTCGGTGAGCGGCCAACAAGTCACTCTAAACACTTATTCTTTACACTATCTCTTTCGAATCTTTACTATTGTGTATCGTGTGTACGTCAAAACCAATATATTAGCTTTCGATAATATATAAATATTTCCGTAACAAATAGATATTTAAATAAATTGCAGTACAATGTCACACTGAACAGCATATAAACACGAGCATTAAATACGAAATATGTTTTGGTAGCGGAAAATCAACATTTCGCAGTAACATTGTTACCATGGTAACTTGCTTTTGTGTTACATTTTTTCGTTAATTACACAAAACTATACAGGAGTTTACTTCCTCCCTTTTTTCTCTAAGGCATTCAAGTGTTTAAATTAACTTTCGTAGAATGAAGAAACAAGGGCTTCTACAAATGGTATTTGTATGTTCAAAGTCTGGAATATAAGTTGCAGAGTTTCAAACTCACACTTTAGGAACTTTCAATTGTACAAATACAATTCCGTTGCAGTATTACGTAAACGTTTTCTTTCTATGACTATCGTGCAGATGCGTTATTGTTTACATTATTGCCATGGAAACGTTATTACTGCTGAAAATATTTTTGTAAATGAACAATCGGATATAGAATTTTGAGCGGCGGAGCGGTTGTGGCAGCTATGAACCTTCGTTATTTAAATCTATCTGTCTTTTATATGTTCTTTCTTTCTTTCCTTTTTTTTCTTGAATTAATTACACTTAAGCATGCGTACACCGCAATATTATTACACTTTTAAATATACAAGTATTACAGGATGGTTGAACGTCAAACTTTTGTATTAACAGTATAATTTATGAATCTCTAAAAGTGCTGGAATTTTTCAGTCTGTCGCACTTTGCATAAATGACGTTTGTATGTGCATCTTTTTTTCTCTTTCTATACATATATATATATCTGTATATGAATATCCAACCAACCTGCTAATCATATGTACAAAAAACACAATAAAGTGATTACGTATTAACGGATTAATGAAAGGTATGCAGTACTTTGCCTATAATGTATGCGAATAATGCATCTTGTTATAACGTTCAGTACATAGCTAGTAACGACAAAATAAGTAAATAAAACTCTTTCTCTCTTGATTATTTCGTGTCTCAAGAGCTTCTTCACTCATAAATATATATATTTTTTATTACATGCTACCAAATAACTACTGCGTCGCTGCTCTTAAAGCATAATCTTAATTAGTACCTGTACTATAATTAGATTTGATTAAAAAAAAAAATTAGCTACATTTAACTACTGAACATCCAATGAAGCACTGGATATTGGACCTATCCTTTTGCTACTCCATCTATGTTTTATAAAATCCCTCCCTGAGACACAAGGATTGGTCATGGATATTCAGCAGTTAGGCCGAAATGCTAAGCATTTTTTCACTATAAAAAAGTGGCAGTTAGCCGATTTCGATCATTTCTGTATCTTCTACATTGCCATGTCCAACTCCATTATGTCTACAAATTGTCACAATCACGGTCATCGAATTGCAATACATAAAAAATTATTTTTAATGAAGTAGATTACAATAAACATAGATAATAATGTATACGCTTACCTATGATTTTGTACATGATTATTATGTAAATGAAAATGCGTGCCTCTAGGAGAAAAACCACGCATATTGCCCCTACGTGGACTTCTAGCATTTATTACCCGTGGCTGTGAATACATATCCTCTAGTATACTAGGTGCCACATAAGTGAATCCCTGAAAAAAATATAAAAAACTTGTTTGATAATTAAATAAATATCTTTAAAAAGTACTGATATAGAAAATGTCTGAAAACGCACTTGAAATACTCTATTGGCGGATTCACTTAACGTGTATTCCGCGGGAGAATCAATTGGTGCGGATGTTGTAAATTTTTTATCAAACTGTGACACATCATCCTCACTTGTCAATGTTGGTCGAAAAGGCGGTTCTAATTTTCGAGAAATTACGTCATTCCAGTTGATATGCTTGAAGAATTGATGACTTTTTATTTGTTCCGCATCAGACGGTCCAGATCCTAATCTTTGTGCAACTTGCCTCTATAAATATAAAATTGCATCTTACTAAATAATATTTCTAATGTAATTACATGTTACTAAATAATTTAGAATAAAGCAATTTTTGTAATTAAAGAAATTAACCTTCAATAATTTTCGTATGAGATCTCTGGAATCAGGCGTTAGATATTGTGGTAGATTTAGTTTACCACGTAAAATTTTTTCAATGGTCTTCTTTCTATTATCAGATGTGAATGGTGGCTAGACATTGAACATACAAATGTTAGAAAGTTTGCTGATTCATTTCAATGTCTCTAATAATACTTACTGAACCTGTGAGCATATCATACATCAAAGTTCCAAGACTCCACCAATCTACTGCTTTACCATGTCCACTTCTTGTTAATATTTCTGGAGCCCTTTTATTAAAGTATATATATATCAATATTAGTGTCACCTGATTGCAAAATTCCATTTGTATCAATAACTACAAAAATTTTCTTACATATATTCTATAGTACCACAGAATGTGTGTGTGACAGTGCCATCTTGTATATGTTCTTTACATAAACCAAAATCAGTTAGTTTTATGTGTCCCTCTGCATCTAATAATATATTTTCTGGTTTTAAATCTCTGAAAATTTATTAAAAGCACAATTAAGTCATAGAAATAATGATACATCATAAAATACATTTAACTACTCTATTTAATTTGACATGCACAGAAACTTTGAAATACCTATAAATAATTCCCTGTAAATGAAGATGCTGCAGGGCCAATATTATTTCGGATAGATAAAAGCTATAAAAATAAGATTTGCTTAGTTTTCCTCTAAAACTAGATCACAATCAAAGTATGATTTTTAAAATGTTATTGTTTCACTTACCAAGCAGTTTCTTCAAGAAAAATGCCTTCATCATTTAAGTGTCTAAATAGTTCACCACCACACATATATTCCAGAATTAGATACAATTTGCCACCAGTTTGAAAAGCATACATAAGGTCTACGATGAAAGGATGCTGCCAGATACAAAGCATATACATATATTAATGAATTTTTCACATTGTGGTTTATTAAAAATATAATTAGTATTTATGTATTAAAATAATTATAATGTGATGAATATTGATTAAACATTATTTTTATCTCACAGTATTAACAGATAGCAAATATACAAAAATTGTCTGAATTTTTAAAATACATGGAGCTCTGACCTACCTTTACAGCTTCCAAAATATTTCTTTCAGCCTTAGTATGTGCAGTATCTTTTTGATTCCTTATAATTGAAGCTTTACGCAGGACCTATTTTTTAAATAAATGTGTTTAAAATGAAGTAGAGGTAAAATTAACACTGAACATATATATAATATTGAATAAAAAATCAATATATATGAACTATAGTTTTTTTTTAACTTCATAAAATAAACAACAATTTACGTATAAGCTATTACTTTATATTTAAACATAACTATTTCTAGAATAGATATACATTTCCAATAAATAGACATTTTTCTTAATAAAATTCATAAAAATTCAAAAATACAAATTCAATTATTTGTCATAACTTTACTCTTTCAAAGCAATTCATACTTGAAAAAAATACATATATAAAAAAAGATTACAATTATGCAAAAATCTCATGGAAAACAGGGGAAGACAAAGAACTTATATAAGTGGAAGAAAAACAATGAATTAAAATTTTTCGCGAAACAAGATCGATATCTTAATAAAAATATTATTCCATGCGTATCGTATGACATCGATAAGATATCCAATACATAAACAGGAAAGGGAGAAACCAAAATTTTCCTACCTTCATCGCGAAAATTGTCCCACTGTCATTACCCGTAATTTTACGCACTTGAAAGACCTTGCCATAACCACCCTTCCCGATAACTTTACAAAGTTCGAAATCCTGCGGTCCAGCTCTTTCCCGTCCACGATTTACATTCTGTTCCGATATAGGTACTGTTTCGACACCCTCCGATCTAGCAGGCAATGTGAAAAAAAAATTGTCAGCACCATGAGAAAAACTTTCAGGCACGATAGATAGATATATAATGCATATATACGAAGCGTAAAGGACAAGCTTACTTACTCGGTTATCTCATTCACGTTTGGATTCGCATCGTACTCTTCCTACGTGAAAAGAAAAACGTATAAGACAATGTTATGGTACGTGAAAAGAAAATGACGATAAGGAAATCTGGAGTGCTCGTGTGCAGATGGAGAATTACCTCGCCAATCTCGATAACATCATCATCAGACTCGTCCCTATTTACCGTGTCCGCATCGTGCAATTCGATATCAAAAACTGCTGCCATTCTATGCGCGGCTAAATTAAATTCAACAAGATTTCGCGGCCGTCGAAGGCGAATTATTTCTTTTGTAACAGACAACGATAGCACAACAATATTGTTAGACGATCAAAACCTTGAATTACTACGAACAAGCTGCCCTGTCCTGAGAGCATACCAAACACCCTCGGCCTTACGTGCACTCCGATTGGTTGTGGAACCTCGTCATCGGCATGTTATCGGAGTGGGAGTGTGTATGGTTCGACCAATCAGGCGATCACGTTCAAAATTCTGCAAGGAATTGACAACTACGGAATTCTGCAACACTATTGCCAAATCTTCATGGTGGAATCTTCCGCGGTTCATTTAAATATCGTTGTGTTACTAATTATAAAAGTCGACAATCTACAACAGATTTTTAAAGTTGTACGTTATTCGAATTACAAATACACATAGAACATAGGAAGTGATGAAACATTCAATGCATGAATATATGAACATATTAGTGTACGTATAGAAGATACAGTTGTTTACGAAAGTATTCAAACGCTTATAGGAAACTTTGATAAATATATTGTTTGTTAATTTGTCTGTTTTCAAACATTTTTAAATTTCATTAGCTTCGTAATATGATTATGAATGAAATTTTAAATGAATTTGAAAATAAAATTATATGGTATTATAAGATTAAATTATATATATAAATTAGATGGTATTTAGTATATATACATTTAGTTTACAAAAATATATCAAGTGTAAATATGTAATGTAAAAGTATGTAAAGGTATTTAAACAGTCAATTATGTATATATTATGTATATAATAAGTGTGTACGATAGTATAGGCATAAGGCATAGAATATTGACATTATGACTTATTGGAAAGATACTTGTTGAATTAATATTTATCTTTTAATTACAAAATTTTATAAATCATAATATAACTTGAAGATAAATGTGTATTGATTGAAATATTAATTACTTTCATTTTTATTAATCGGAACGAACCGTCTCTTATCAATTGGATTAATATCAACTGAAAATATCTCGTGCAAAAGGTGTCACCTTTTTACAATTGATAAGAGGCTGCTGCGCAGTAACATATTGCAATCCATAGAATACAAAAATACTCGTTAAATTTTAATGTCATTGTGTTTTGCCATTTAAAAAGAAAAAATAGAAGATGGTTTTACGGCACCACGTAGAGGGATACGAGAATTTTTTCAAATTTATGAAAAATTTCAAATCTAATGAATCAATATACGTACTTTATAGTGGTAAAAAACTTCCTAATGGCAAAAGTTGGTGCCCAGACTGCGTAGAAGGTATAATTGCTGTACCATAGTCATTTATTTTATATATAACCTTAATTTTATGACACATTGCTTCCTTTCCAGAAAACCACTTAGAATCAGTATCTTTCCATGTTACATGTTTGTTTTAATATAATTACATGATAGATTAAGAAACGCCTTTTTTAAATACTGCAAAATATATAGCTTATAATATACCATATTAATAAGTTAGTAATCTATATAAATATAAAACATTTTATTCTTATTACAGCGGAACCTTTCATAGAAGATGGGTTTAAAACAGCTCCAGAATCAGTACACTTGGTTGAAGTTGAAGTTGGAGATCGACCATTGTAGGTGATTTAATAGAATAAAATGTATATGTTAGTGTATACTTCTATTTTAAATTTAGTCTGAAATATTTCTATCTTCTAGTTGGAAGGATTTGAATTGTCCATTTCGAACAAACTCTGTTACAAAGTTAAGAGTACTGCCAACCTTAGCAAAATGGAATACACAAAAACGTCTAGAAGGTGATCAATGTCAAAAGATTGACTTGATTGAAATGTTACTTACCGATGAAGATGACTAAATAATTCAATTTCGTATGCTACAGCAGTGAAACTTAAGATGAGCAGTTTTGTAAGTCACTAAACAATGAATGTTTTACTAAATGTTATTTCGTTATAAGTAATATAGTAAACAATCAATTTTGTACTCAGAGTGATCTCTTACAAGATTAGGAGATATAGAACTATCTTATAATCGTATTGTAATAGTATCTTACTTTAGTCGAATTACTTACATATGTCTTCTTATAAGAATTCCCTTTTTTTTACAAATTATTTCAAGATATACAATTACCACAAATATATATATACCATAAATATATATAATAATATCATTATAATTATCACAAATAAAACAAGAACTACATTTTGTAATGTGCAACTAAGCATATAGATAAATTTTTAAACAATTGAAAAAGAAAAAGATTAGCGATAACATAAAAGCATTGACTTCTTTTAATATTAATTACATTGTATAGAATGTATTTTTCAGAGAGAATATTTTCTATAATATATTATTATTCTAAGTACATTAATTATAAAGTTGTTGGTGTTATTTCTTGTGATTCTGTCGGTGGTATAACTTTCACGGAGTAATGGATTTTTTTATTTCTTATTATGCTATAAGTGTTGTCAAAAATAATGGAATCTACAACAGATAAAGTTATTGATGAAGTATCTGATATTTTTATGATGCAACTATTTACACAATGCCTACTCACATGTAGAAGGTACTTCACAGATCAAAATTCCAATCTCATCTAATTGATGGGCAGCCACTCGTCGCATTGGTATCACTTCTTTCTGTGTTCCATTATAATCTTTCTTCACAATACCAAATCTAATGTCATGGTTCTCTGTACGAAATTCCCAGCTATACAATTCCCAACCATTCACGATTAATAAATATAGAATTATATCATATCATAATTAGTTTATGAATTTTTTATACCTTAACAGAGATCCCATTTCAGATGCTGGGATATCAAGCTCTAGTTTCCCACCTTTCTTAATTGTAACTGTTGTAAAGTTCTCCATATCTTTCTCTGTGTTATTTACATACATTTCTTTAGGGACTTTGCCTCCAAGACAAATCTGAACATAAAGAAAAATTTTAATATTTTTAATATCATCGCATTCATTTATCAAGAAATTTGTCCAAATTTTGAAACAATATAAATTTCTTTTTCTTAGTTTCCTTTTTCTTTACCTTGGTACCAAGCTTTGGGTTGCCATCAGGATCTTTAAGGGTGCCTCCAAAGAAAGCAGGCACTTGATCTCTGTCAATGTTACTGAATAGCGCTGTCTGCCATCTCGCAGGATCCGATTTGTATATTTGAATCTTTGATAAGGTATACTCGTTCATAAACTTTTTCGTCACGGAAAATGCGAAAGCAAATACCTTTGGAGCTAGAAAAGAATACGAGATATAAACCATCAATCATTTTATTATATGATTATCTGTGATATAAAAAGTGTACCATTAATTATGTAACAGGTCTTTAAAATCTCTGGGTAATTAGCCTCATACATTTGGATTAAAGTAATGACAACTTCTCCAGCTGGAAAATAGAATTATGAATTAATATTTATCGCAATAAACTAATTTAATTGGGTGATAAAAAAAGCAGCTTCATTTTAGGAAAAATTACATCACTAATCGATCGTTTCTTACAAATTCATTAAACAGATGACTCTTTCAATTTATATAAGCATTTCATTGGTTACCTTGTTTTTATGGGCCACGAACACATATAACTAACGAAAAAACGCTATGAAACAACTAGCAATGATACTTTAAAGAGTCGAACAAAATATACTCTGAGGAAGTTATGTAATCATGGTCGATATACATAAATTTTACCTGGTCTCCAGAGATATTGTTTCAAGTTAAAACCCTGCATGTCAAAAATTACGACCACTTGACCAGCTGCTGGACCGTGTTTTAACATTTGTTCTCTACATAATTTTAAGTATTCTTCGAGACGTTTTATGGTCATCTTTATCATATCCCTTCTCGAGACTACATGCAAAATACCATAAATATCTAATGCGTCGAAATACACTACAATCACTACAAAAATATTGGAATTATTGATTTCATCATGTTTCATCCTCAATTACGGCTATGGTGAGCATATATTCTACAATTTACCTGGGGCACCATCTTTATCGAAACCACATAAACCGTGAGGTAGATAGTCATTCAAAATTTGAGGAGGATCCCATTCGGTTAATTTGTCAACTTCCCATTGTTTTCGCCACTCCATAGACTAAAAAGTAATACAACTTTAGTTTGAAAGTATTATAAATATAATGTACATGCATTAATAATAAAATAGGTAAAAAATATTCATATAAATAATATATTCATACTTTGTGAATTTCAAATCCTAAAGACTATTAAGCTGTATATAGTACTGTATATAATGATATAATGTAATTTAATGCACAATATTATGACAAAAAAATCTATAAGTTTAAAAGTATAATTTTCAATATATACTTCGAAAATATAATTTTAGACTAAAAACACTACAACTAGAATTATCAAAATAATGTCTTGCAAGAAACACTAAATATGACATATGTTCGTATGAATTTTTTCTTTTTATTAATTTTATAGAGAATTGAAGATAATCGAATTGATGACTTTCTACATACATAGAAATAAAAGATTTAGAGAATGATTGAAGTTTTAGAGAACATCAGTACCACGAGCGATTATTACCAGAGATACACAGATACATACATCCTGTATAGTTCAAAGAAAATTTCTGTTTTTATAAACGTTCTCTTAATACCTAAGAATTAAGTGGAATTGAGAAATTTAATTTCTAGTTTGCCTTAAGGGGAGAAAGGGATTATAGTTGCAGCTAACATATTGCAATATCCGGAATTCTATTCGAAAGAAGAAAGTGGTACGCATCGCGATATTAGGATCGTTTCGCATTTTTCAACGTCGTTAATTATGGAAATCGATAATGGCACAATATGGGTAGCGTTACAAGCATCGAATCGTGTATCAAGTTCTCCAACGTTTTATTTTCCGTTTTTATTTATCGGTTTTATAAACCGATGCAGGCACAAAGCAAAAAATTACGATCACCATCTTCGCGTAAGAGAATTTAAGTTATTACATTTACTATTAATAACTTTACTATTAAACTTTAATTTAATTATCAAATGAAATATGCTTTCTTCGTTAATTTGTTAATGATAATTTTATATTTTCTAACTATAATTTTGCAACGAAATATATGAATGTAAAAAGAAATGTGTACAAAAGTAGGTTGATCAATATACACGCAGGTATGAAATATTGCAGTTGTTTGCATTACAAACAGTTATTCTGCTCTCTCTTTGCTCATCAGCTTGAAGTGTGAGCTGTAGAACTTACTGATTTTTCCCGGTTTTATGAACAAGTATTTTTTTCATATATACATATATATATCAGATATATATATATATATATGAATATATATATATATATGAATATAAGTTTAAATATGGTACAAGTTCAATTTAAAGAAAATGGATAAAGCTACTTTCAAGTATTAAATTTCATAATTAATCGGTCTCTTTTCGTATATTTTTCACGGTAAGATAATAAAATCTTTTAATATTTTAATAGATATAAAATATAAAAATCCTATAATAATATAAGAAATAAATTAATATAAATAAATTCAAACGTTTCTTTAATAAATAACGTACCGCTCGTACTTCGCTCATTAATTAAACTAATTGTAATAATTAATTAACTGCGAATACAGCGGAAAGAATTCGGAAGTACTATACTGCGAAGCATCTGAAGCGATGAAAAGTGCATATTGTGTAGAAGAATTGTTTTTTTTTCCTTCTGTTGGCCACTAGACCATAGAGAGAGTATACTTCGTTAACGCTTCGTAGACGATCTACAAGTCAGTGAAAATTCAAAAGATCGTGAAACGTGTTTCTTCAGACTTTCTCGGTTAAATTCATGGCTAGAGCTATAGAGCATCAAGCGCGAAAGGTGATGACTGATTAACGTGATAGTCGATGCTAACATTGAGCGTGCAACTTATCGCAATTATGCCCCAAGACGTAGATTTCTAGATAACAGTATGCCAAGGAATGCGTACGAATTCGAAACTATATATCCTTATTTTTAGTATGAAAAGGTTTGCTCTCTGAGGCAAATGATTCTTTCTTCGTTCATTTTTGTTAATCGTTTGTGGCTCGAACAACCTTTAATATTTTGCTTCGACTCGTTCGTACTCAATAAGCTATTTTTAAGAGCAATTCATGGATAGAATATATATTTCCATATTTTCATAAATAACAACATTTTGTTCGATCTGATTCATATTCAATAAACTATTTTCAGAAGTGATCTATTATTTGGATATATTTCTGTATCTTTGTTGCCAATAACAACGTATGTTTATACTTTTTACTTTGATTTGTTTCCACTAATACCAGTACTATCAAATCTATCTAAAGCAGAAGTTATATTTAGTCAGTATGTTTCAATACTAAATACTAAATAATTGATGTTGACCTCAACTGTATTACAGTTTGAAATAAGACTACAAACAGTTAATGAATTCATTAGGACCGGTGTCATTAGTGTCTAACACATTGCCAGTCGGTCAACAAGATTGATTTTCCACTGTATATACCTTGCAAAGTAAATGGTGGCCTGGTCTTACATTCTCTTCTGCACAATTTTACATGGCAATACCGTTAGGCAGTCGCGAGGAACTTCATTTTTATATATGCTATTAGGATTTTTCTTCGTGTAATGCCTTTCACAGTTTTTCTTTAATCAAGCAAACATTTATCGAAATATTTATATATCAGTGTGAGTCAATCCGATTGACAATATGTATTACATTTCATTATAAAGAAGAGATATACGATAATAGGAATACAATAAAATAGGAAAAATGCAATTGATATATGGATAATGGAATTTTGAAATTAATTAAATAAAGTCCTATAAATCTGTTAGTTATGCGATTAATAATAATATGGTTACATTGTATAATTCGTACGTATAATGCAACTGACGCAATACGAGATATGTGAAAGTTCAATATAAGTTTGAACGAAGTTGTCCTCCTTTCGAAAAGATTTTTTCTACAGCGAAGGAATTTATTTATTTTTCGGTTTTTATGAAACTAAATAATAAAAAAAAACAAAAAAGGGAGAAGTAGGGAAGTGAATAGATGGGTTTGTGTCAGTAATTATAGGTAAAAACCTCCATACCTCACGTAGCATCTTCTCCGCAGCAACCGGGTCCCATTTTCTTGCTAAAAATCATATATATTTTTTAACGTCTATTTTAGAGTCAAGAAATATTTAATTCTACATTACATATTTATAATACGAATGAAATTGGAAAATTAACAAATTTAATACTAATTAAAATGTTATGTTCATTTATTATATATTTTTTTATACGATTAAAATTAAATTTCCTAATTTCGCAGAAAATAGTTAAACAAGAAACTTTTTGCTCTCCGTTGTAAATTTTTTAATGTCTAATTTTATTCAATGATCTCATGAAAATACATTTCTTTCGCTGTACCGAATGGATATTAAAGAATCTTTATATATCAATTTATATTTATTTATAATTTTTTCTTTTTTAAATTATTTTATATAACAATCTTTTGAGTAGTATACGAAGTATATTCCATTTGTGTTATTAGTGTTCAACCAGTTATTAATTTCTCATCACGTGTATTTCATTGCAAGTTGCACTTAATTTGAAGATACCAGTGAATGTTAGATTCTTTCTTTTACGAGGTTCAGAGACCAAAACAGAAGAGAATTCACATCTACTGAATTATGATTTACAATTACACACAGTGACTCGTGAAAATATTTGAATAGTCAATTACCCATCATATTAATAAACCACGTTATTCAGTGGTTATTCAGCACCATCTTCAGCACTAATTACATGTTCAAGACTAGTATTTATGTTATATACTAATTCTTTATCAAATGAATGGTTACAGTATCGAAATATCTTGTAACTTCTATATACATTCTCCGATTTGTTTCAAATTTGAGTGTTCAGTGTAATCATAACGATCCAAATGAAACTTCCAAATTTTGTATACATATAATACATACAATATACAGGGTGGTTGGTAACTGGTAGTACAAGCTGAAAGGTGGTGATTCTATGCGAAAAAAGAAGTCGAAAATATAGAATACAAATTTTTCGTTCGAGGCTTTGTTTTCGAGAAAATCGACTTTGAATTTTCGCTCGGTACGCGTGCGGTACGTTATAGCGGATCTCACTGTAGATCGTTGTCTCGATGGAAAAATTTAAAACAAAAGAATTAAAAAAAAATTTTATTCTATATTTTCGACTTCCTTTTTCGCGTAGAATCACCCCCTTTCCGCTTGTACCACCAGTTACCAACCACCCTGTATATACTGTGGCTAAAAAGAGTATTTGTACATCACTGTATTTATTATAACATTTACATGTTAATTAATTAAGATCAAATATATTTCGAACCATTTAGCAATTTTTTCTTATGATTAGAAAAATTTAATACCAGGAAAATAAATCGTAGGGTCTGATGAGAAAATACTTCACTGGAAAATAAGGGCATTTGCAAATACTTTTGGAGCCATTGTACATAAAAATTCTTTACGATAAGTGTTTAAATATTTTCATGAGACACTGTACATAAGGATTTCCAAACACTGTCTTATTTTGTATAATTTAAGGGATTAAGTTCTCTGATGATTGTGCCTGGCGTCTTTGAACCAGCCATTCAGATGGGACATTAAAGACGACTGTGTATGGTATACATATCATAAAAGCAATAATCGCCAGGAAACGTCGCCGATTATAATGAAATAAATGAACATAAAGGTCCAAGTTGCGATTTGTCGTGAGATTGATAAATTTTCTTCGGGGCACGTTTGACGCATGCAATGTTGAGAAACCGTACGGACGGTTACAACAAATTACAAGAATTCATACCTCGAAGCCAACGTAGTAGAAAGTTATCGTCATGATGCGGTTGTTTCAGAATATCTTGAACTGTCCGCCTAAACTGAAATCAGAAGTTTGTATAAATTAGCCGGTTATGTAATAACATTTAGAATTCACGTATCATACATGAAATAACAAAAAAAAAAGAAGATTTAGGACTACGGGAGTTTATGGTTGTCACAGAAAGAAGCGAAGAAATAATTCAGAATTATTATATCAAAATATAAGGGCGAGGTAACAGAATGACGCGCGAAAGTAATAAACTTGTAAATATATTCGTGATATTAATAGATGTAAATGCAAATAATTTACACAGGTGTCTTATCAAAAGATGCATTAAAATAATAGATATTTTTAAAGAAATGTGAGATATAAAAAAGATATTTATGGTTTTAAAAAACAAATAGCTTTCGTAATGCTATAAATACTTCAATTTTTCCAAATTTCATAGAATCCAAATGAAAACAGAAATGATTACGAAAAATTAATTAATTTTTTATGTATTTCGTGATAAAATTTTTATGTAGCCAGGTTTAGCAAAATTATCGTCTTTTTACATAGTTGTATAACAAAGGTATAATGACACAGTGTTAGGAAACTGAAATAGCATAGTACTTATATAAATTGGAGCGAAAAACATTAAAAGCTATGCCACGTAATTATGCCATTGCTTATATCATACTATAATCTTACATTATAACTTATAAAATACGTATTTCTATAACATCTATAGCCATACTGCATCTATCTTTTAGCAGGAGGGATTGGTTATATTGAAAATTTGCTAGCACGCCTTTCATCCATGATTTGCAGTGAAAGCAAATCGTTTTTCTGGGAAGTGCACCAACAATTTTACGGTCAGCGCAAAAATCTTAGACAACTTTGTTTCACACAAAATCACCTGCACTTATTTACTTTCACGTAGATTTTTCAGCAGGTTAACTCAATCCTGTTACCAAGAATCAAAATACGGGTCACCGATACACGACGTGTATGGAATCTGTGCTTGTAATTGAAACTTTATTTTGCATGCTGCATTTATTTTAAAACATTCGAATGAATTTTGCAATATTAATTATTCTAATTCTATTCTAAATTCTATTCTATATATTTTTTCTGTCATATTGAAAATTGCATCATTTGGAATTCTATTTTTTAATTAAGTTTAATTTTATTTGCAAATACTTATAGAGTAAATTTTAGAAAAATTTCTCCTAATGTCGATTATGATAAAAATTCAACTTCTATTCTGATTATTCTTTTTTCTCGAACACATTGTAAATTGTATCACTTCAGCTTGAAAATGAATTAATGTAATAATATTACGATTAATCGAATGTATCACTGAAGGACGTATATGCTTTCTGCTTCCTCGTTAATCAATGACAATCAAAAAAAAAAAAAAATAAAAGTAAAAAATATATAGGTGAGTGTATGTATTACGTTGATTACTTCTATGTTAATTTAGCTGTTTTCTAAAAACTTCTTCCGCGCATAACAAACTCATGCACGTTTTATAGAGACCGCGTAGCTCAATTGCCATAATTGCAAGATTTTCCAAGATCTTCGTATGTCGGTCACGATTCGCGAAATTGCTTAATTCCGAACATCAGCTTAAATCAGTCAGCTTAAATCGAACATCAGGCGAAACTCTATCTAACGCTTGATATTGGCAGGTACTTGTTAAGTAAAATTGAATTGGAGTTATTCTTTCACAAAAGTTAATTAAGGAGTTACAAAGTATACTTGTATAACTTATCATCCAATAATAATAACTATATGAATATTTACGAAAATGCATATTTTTCTGTGCACAGATTTATGTATTTAACCTTTTAAATATTATAACGAATATCTTATTTTGAATATCTGCATATATCAAATTTCAACGTAAGATTATCGCTATGATATTTAAAAATTGAAATAAATTATATTCAGTTTTTATCTTAGTAGTATTTATAGAAATATGAATTTGCGTGAATGAAAAAAATCCTACTATTACAAAAAGTGAAAAATGATTATACGAAATTTAATAGCCACCGATACATTAATATCATTCATCTTTTCTCTCTCTGCCACTATCTTTATTAAAATTTCTTATATGAAATAAAATACACGAAGGAACCATCACCTAACTTAATTGACTGACGAAGAAATATTATCCAACAATTTATTAATACTGGTTAATCTTTAATTATTATACTATCTATAGGTATTAACCCTTTTCCTTATACTACATAATATCTTTTGCAAAATTCCCTTGTTCATTAACTAAACAGAATTTGTAGAAACTATCGTGTAATCTAATCGATCGATGAAACATCAAACTTAGTACGCTAGTCACATCCTCAATGTAGCACAATTCGTGTACCTGATGAAACCGATTTATGCGCACAGAATCGTGTATAAGGAGGCTAATGGACATACGGAGATGTACAAATGTGTGCGTTTAATCTTCAACAGTATCAACGTCACGTTGTAAGACCATGTGACAGTCTGTATGGGTGAACAGCAGGGTAAAGAAAGTGCCGTTTTACGCGAGGGAACCGTTCACTCTCGATCATCTTGACGTTCGTTTACAAAAAACATTATATACATAAGAAACAGGTATAGGAAGAACTGTCTTTCACAAGGAAGAGTTATTTAAACTCTACGGATGGATTTAGCGACTCTCAAAAAAGAAATCGACGAACAAAGACAGAGGAGGTGTATGTACGGTCCACGTCTCGCGATAAAGTAGTTTTCATCGGGTGAAATCCATCGCATAATGACACGTTTGCGAGCGACGAAAGCGATGATAAAAAGCGTGCTCACTGCCGGCAGCGTGAAATGAAAGTTTTAAAGGGATAGGAAGTAAATGTTCATCGTCGACTATGATGATGATCCACTGATAGAACGATACTTCCATGTCGAACAGGTTTGCATGATAACAAGTGTCATTGCGTGAATGACTGGAAAAAAGAAAAATAAATCGTGTCAGAAAGTAGAATGGTCAGAATATGTGAATGAAAATATCGTAGACATAGAATGAAGTCAGTAGAGATTTGTAAAATTTAACAATATAATTAGTGTTGGTATATACACTGATTCGTGAAAGTATTTGGATGCTTTTATGTAGTATGTGTGTTACATAAAACATTTTGAAATTTTATTTAATGAAGCACAGCTATCATCGTTATCGGTATTTGAAGCCAATCTAAAGATCTATATAGAAGTTATAAGAATAATAGTCTTAAACATATAATTAGTGTTAACGATGATTAAATACTGTTGCCTATTAATGTAATGGCTATTCAAATACTTTGAAAAACCTCTGTTAAATATCTTTGTTTACATATTATGTTTATAAGAAATATCTTGTATTATAATTTCTATGGATATACATTTCCTGATTCGTTTCAAATTTTACCAACATAATCATGGCAATCGTGTCTCACTGTAATGTTCATGAAACTTCAAATAGTTCTGTGTGATACGTATAATGAATTTATACAACTTTTCCGTAGTACGTGTTCAACTTTCATGAGCTATTCTACATAGATACATAAATATATTCTTTATAGAATCATTGTAGAAGATGAACATTAAAAAATATATGCATCTGTTAACGTCACGTCTTTTATAGAAGTAACGATACGTGTCAAGTTTATCAAGGCTTCTTCAGAGTTATCGCGTTCGGCTATCGATAGCTATAAATTTAGGCTATGACGAATTCTAGAAGTTGCGAATGTTACGCTATGATTTCGGACGTTATCTAGGTGAACGTACCTTCGAGATTTCCAGGTGACTTGCTTCTTTAAATTTTTTTCTTCTTCTTTTTTTAAATGGAACCATATGTTTTTGTTTATATGGACGTGTAGTCCGTTCCATGACGAATTCATTGACCTAGATATGTTTGCACGCCAAGCTCATTCAAGGTAGTTTACTGCCGTTCAAAGCTTGCCTTCCTTAAACGCCCAGAAATTGTTATTTATTGTCGGTATTCGAAATGACCTCGAATATCAATGCACCGATTTGCTCTATCTCTAAAAGATAGTTTCACCCTCTCCAATGTTGCAGAAATAATTCGAACATTCTCACTCGACATTCTCTAACAACCCAAATCACATCGACAATTTCGTTGTATGTATAATGAGCCATCGTAAATTGAATAGATAAGTGAGATTTGTTAGTCACAATAATATTGATTTCTTCGAAGCAACTGTAACAGTAACCGAGGATATGTAAGTATCAGGCGTAGCAGCAGATATCCTCTGTTCGTAAGTAAAAGTAATGATAATTTACGATCATTAGTGTGATTTAGAATTGTGTTCACGGCTGAATCGATGAAATACTCTGGTGAGTAAAGATAAATTTTGAACAACAGTAAGTGACCTTGAATGACCTTGAAACGTCAACATGTTGTGAGTTGAGTTCGTCACGAAATGGGGCACACGCTTATCTGAATAAAAACGTATACATAGTATTATATACAAAGGCTTGAAATCTCAAAGGCACGTCCGTCTTGATAAAATTTATGATCATCAGGAGATGTCTCCCTCGAAATAGAGTATGTTTTAGTTGAAACATTTGTTTGCATGAAGAACGGTCTAGGAGATAATTATATATCTCCAAATGAATCATCCTGTATATACTTACACTAATTATATTGCTAAATGTTATAACTGTTTAGTAGCTTCATTTTAAATAAATCTTTACGGTATAAAGTATCATACTTTATATTTCCGAGTTTCTTCATAAGAATGACGAGGTCGGATTAAATTTACTACGTTTCTGATGTTTATTGCATATCAATGAAGGATACATTATTTCAACATTAAGTATTTCCTGTGTACTGAATAATCTCATTTTCTCTAGTCAAGAATTTACATTTGTAATGATTGTCTTTTTATCCTTTCATCTATAGAATGTTTCTGAAGTATAAAAATTTTATTACGTGAATCGTGTGATTTTTTATTACTTCTGATTGTCTATTCAAATTAGTTGTATATTAATAGTATATTCTGTGGTCATGTATGTAATTTAACACTTCTCTGTTTATTCGGTTTCAAGTTTGCATACGGTATCAGCTGTATTTAAAATAGCTGTGATAATTGCTCGTTATTTCAATCTTTTTTATTTGAATCACAATAAGGACTGAACCGACACTTGCTTCCCGTCTTTGTATTTGTTTCATATGTAGAACGATCTTGCAGAAAATTCTCGCTGCCAGTTAACAACGTAACATTTAAATAATTAAGACACTCTAATCATTTTAGTTTAAAGCTGTAGTTTGTCATTAATTTTCCTTATTATTGTAACTTTCTACCAGTGTATCCGATTTGAGTGTACGTACGCTGTTATTTCTTTGACTATCAGAAACGCGAAAAAATATTCAGATGAAAGTTATTTGACTTGATGGAAGAAACTTAACAGAATGTTAGAATTTTTTCTTGCACTTTTACTTATGGAAGTTTCAGCATCCACACATTTTTTGAACTCAATTATATACCTTTATTATTATGAGTTTATTGTGCATTTCAAGAAGCATTCAATAATATGTGCGAAGTATCTAGGCAATAATTTGTTTGGAGAATAATAAGTCGACAGAAGCAAGACTTGATTCTACCTGTAATTGGATAAATTATTGTTGAAATGTACGCTTCATATATTTCGTTGGTTCATTTCGAAATACGTAAAAGTTTGACAGATAATTGATAGCGATGATGAAATGAACAAACAAAAATTAAATTAAACAAAGCTCAATCACAAGATCCCAGAACGTTAGTACAATATTCGCCGGACACGTTCATAATGTTCTTTTCAAGAGTGACATATTATTAACCTCGACCCTGTGGTCGTACCTTCTTTCCAATTGAATGGTTGACTTACTTTCATCAATGCAAATCGCTGGTTATCCTCCAATCCCACTACTTTCAACATCCTTGTGTCTCTTTTGTACGTCTTTTGGCGGTTTTTGAAACTTCCGTTCTAGCTCTTTCACTCTGATTTGCGATAATGCGTTCTCTGCCTCCTGCTACCGTTACCTGTTGTTTACCTCGTTTATTTCTGCCTCAGCAACAAAATACATAGAGTTTGAGTCACAAGGTGTCACGCAAGACTTTCTTCTATTGAGCTTTAATCTCTGTTAGGAACAGGCAATGGTCAGATACGAAATTTTTGATAGCATGTATGATGTACAGTGATTCACAAACTACCTTGATTTACACTTCTAAAAACATTTTATGAATATATTGCGTTTATCATATAATCTATATATGTACATATGTAGAAGTCATATATATGTTGGTATTTATTGTTAGTATATAGTAAAGATTACCATAGTATTCGAACGATCAATTATTCATTACATTAATAATCTACAATATTTACAACTAATTATATATTTCTATGAAACTCTTATATTCTATTTTTTTACTAGATATATGTTTGCAGTAAATGTTCTCCGACTTCTATATACATTTTTAGATTAACTTCTAATTCCATCAATATAATCATGATAGTCGTGCTTTATTAGAATGCCAATGGAATTTCAAAATGTGTTACGTAACATGCATAATGCATAAAAGTTTTCTGTAATAAATGTTCAAATATTTTGAACTATAGCCACTATAGAAGCTAGAATAATAAGAGTGAATCATATCGATTTAATGTAATAGATATCACGTTCATTACTACATGGTAATCGATTCATTATTATGCGCATGACGACGGAATTGCATTTCAGCAAGAATGTGTCTCCAAGTGTTATAGAGTTGTGGTTGGTAAGGTCGAATGTGTATAACTTTTCTGTCTTTTTCATAAAGTCCATGTAAAGTGATAAAAATCTATATAAGTAGACGTACAAAATTTATACATGTATATGGTTATTTCAGAGGTACTTAAATTTGTATTATGTGTTATGTAAGCAATGTTTGAGTTATTTGAGTTATGGTTTGACTTATTCTTCTTTGTAGACATAAAGTGCAAATGAAATGAATTGTTAATATAATCGATAGTGTTTGCAAATAAAACATGACCTGATCGGATATGACTTGTTTTATAAAAATGAAAAATTATACTTGTCCCTTTCGTACCATAACATATTCTTTAATTAAATTAGTCTGTTGCTTAATATAATTGGAATTCAAAAAAGAGAAAGAAGTAGAGAAGTGAAAAAAGGTTTACCCGAATTTGCAACTCGATTGCGTTACACATTTAATTGTGGGCGGTGAAAAATTACTGTTACATTGGGGGAATAATCGTATAATGTTACTAGCCGAAACTCGAAATGAACTACAAGCGGTTCATGTAAGATATTTAATATAATACTTCAATAACACAGTTGTATATTAATTTTTCATATTAATTTATAATTTTATCTTGTTCTCATATATAATTTATATACCAATAAAAACAGTATTAAAAAGATATTACATAACAAGTGTCCTTTAAGAAATATAATCGATGGAACAGCCACAAAACTTCAACTCTCTCCTCAGGCGCAAATCGGTGTTGCAATTAAATAAATTCTCTTCAAACGGTTTGATCTCACAGTCACCATTAAAATGCACCTCAAAATATTGAAAGAAAAAGAGGAACGTTACCGAGATAAGTAAACAATGTATACCTCTTCTTTGAAAAAACCTTTCTCTTCAAAACATAGAACAAAAATCGTCAACAAATCACGTTGTCACTTGGCGCGCAAACACATTCGAATAGAGCGCATCGTTATTGCGTTCGTGTTTCGCGGCTGCCGGCTTACTTAGTGGCGCAACAGGTGTCTCTTGCGGTCGTTGCGACCGCGCTCCAGTTCGAGAGCCAATTCCCTACTAAAAATGAATGTTGCGCGCTGACTGGCAGAATGGTACCGTTCTGTTCTACGCTGTGTTCACGATGACCGGTATTACCTTGTCACGGGATACCCCACCCCTTACAAACCATTGCTTTAACCTACCGGGATTTTGCTTCGTTAATCGGCCGTCGCTATCCCCTCCATTTCTCGAAACTGATTTCGTAAGGCGTACATTTGATATTACCTATATAAAATAAATAAATATATACAGTGACTCACGGAAGTATTTGAACACTTACAATAGAAAATTTATAATATATTGCATATGTTGTATTTACTGTAAACATAAATTAACTATACAATATGAACAGCGATTTTGAACATATAATAAATTGTTGAACACATAAAAGATAATCCTACTGAATAATAATTCTTACTAAAACATTTCAAAGTGTTTTATATAATGCATACAATATACAATACATAAATGTTTTCTATGGTACATGTTAAAATACTTTCGTGAGCCACTGTATATCTATATATATCTATCTATATATATCTATCTATCTATATATATCTCATTCGTATTTAATATTTGAAATTTTCTAAAAATATACCTCTCTCAATAATTGGTCAGATGAGACCCGACATATGGCCAGTTATATTATCGAAGCAATAGTCTATCTTGTGTGCGTTCATATACAACGTAAAGAAACGTGAAACAATCAAAAGTCATTTCGATTGTCTTTGTTGAAGTAAAAGAATAATCAACTACGTGCTGAAATATGAGCTCTTCCTCCACTGCAGATTACAGCTTACATTGGGAACGATGCAACATTGAGTTAGACAATCTCAAATGCGCACGAGTTTGTGAGTAACTCTGCATTATAATATTGATTAACAGCTTTGTAGTACTTTGTAGTACATCCTTCTTATATCAAAAACCATGAATGTGCAAATTTTCATCTATTCGGTAAAAAGATTGGCTAAAATGCCATTTTTCTGTGCTCTTAACTATACAGATTAAAACAACGAATGTAACATAACAATTGTATTATGAGTGTGTTTATGAATTTGAACCTAACCTCTTAATGCTCGGATTTGATAAACATATATTAATACAGATATTTGAACAATAATAAACATGTATTATACTACTTCGATTAGGGTGTTTCTATCATATATTAATATACAGAGGTTACAAAAATTTACTTTCTAATGAAGTATTTTGGTTATTAGATTCTACATTTCATTTTTATAGCATTAAATTTGTATAGTCATATGAAATATATTACTAAAGTATTACTAAATAATACAGAATTTAATATAGAGGATTATCCACTTAAGAAACCGCGCTCGCGAGAACTTGGGAAATAGCAATATGTAGATTTACTACTACAATTAAAACATGGCATGCGCCATCTGTGAGCTGCTACTAGAGCTAGAGTTAGTTATAGGTTATAACACAGGGGGAGTTTGGTGTCACCGATATTTTTTATACCTATCGATCTGAACATTTTTTCACGATGTAATTTAAAATTTGGATAATAGATGATAGATAACCCTGTACTTAGATCTAATTGATTAGCATGTAAATATTAGTAATAATACAGTGCTGTGCAAATACTTCTTGCAGCCACTGTATATTAACATCATAAGCAAATTGTCGATCGTGGAGACGAGAATGAAGTTAAATTTTATGCCGTTATTTTAAAGCACTGTTCGCACCATCTGTCGAAGGGTTCTGAAGTTACCTGTCAGAAATATTGACTATCACCGGCATTCAACCTCGATCGATCTCTCGCGTTCGACCAGAGACAAGGTATACAGATTCGACTCATCGTATCGGATTCGTCCGGTTATTATGGCGTAGAATGTTAAGTGATATACCATTTCCTACGAGGATTTTCATCAATTAAATGTAATATTATCAATCTGAAATATCTGTATTCTTGTTAATTAGCGTGAAGGAAGTGATTCATGCAATTGTAGCTATTCGGTCGCGCCTGCATCAAAGAATGCAGATTCGTTTCAAACGATACATTATCGGCGTCTCGTGCCGGCATAAATTTCGACGGGGAAACACACCGTATAATAGAACACATTCACCAGTATCGAGGTTAAACATTTTCGATCGCTGTCCTGTCAAGTAAGTGATTTCTTAAAATTATATTATACTGTTGATTATACTCTGAAGCTTCTAACACAGTAATGTCATTTGTGAAATTTTACAGGTTACAAGTTACAAGTTATTAGTAGTAATTAACTTTCTTTACAACAAATACGATAAATACATATAGTAAACATATGTATACGTGCAATACTATACATATAATACATGTACTACAATTAAATTCTATCAATTACAAGTTAGCTGTCATATTCGATTATATTTTAAGTATTACACTATTTTCATTAATGAATAATTTTCTAAATAATTGTTTATGACAGTCATTTCCTTTAATCTACATAATATATAAATACATCAAATAGATAACATTTGTACAACTTTATTTGTTTTATTGCTAGTAAGATAATTTATCAATACCAGTAACTTGTAGCTTATAATTTCTAACAATAAGAATTATATAAACGTAGTTATGTTTATATTGTATAAAATGCTAATATAATATAATAAAATTATATTATGTATGTATTATATTATTATGTATATAAATATTTCCATGTCTCAGAAATAGTACCGGAAATACGTATTTCGCGTATAAGAAAGATAAATCGCAAATATAAAAAAAAATTTTGTTCAACTAGTTTTTCGAGAAAATAGAAATTTTCAAAGTATTACTTAATACAAATTTTTTTGATATTTTAATATTATAAAAAATAAACTGACACCTTAAATGAATGTATAGTAATATATTGGAATCTATTAAAATTTCAGTTTTCGATGCGTTCATTTTATATTCGATTAGTTTCATTTATTTACGTCACTTGCACTACTGATGTATCATGTTTATTCAAGGTATTAATATGTTAATCTATTCACTTGTCCAATCGAATATTTCGTTACATTATTTCAGAAGTAATGAATGAACATTCACACATTCTTTACGTTTATATAAGAAATAATATCATAATATATGTCTTTTTCAATTTCTTCATTTATAATAGATATAAGTATAGAATATTATCATTACAATTTATTATTACATATATGCTATTAGAAAAATTCATTATTATGAAAAGGATTATAATTTTACCTTTTTTCGAGTGTTTAAATAACTGATGGCATAATTATTTTTATCGGGAAATTTACCAAGCAGAAAATTAGTCTGGAAGGAAGTCGTACCTTCTTGACTTTGAATTACATAAGGAATCCGTGTGTACATACCATTGAATGTAGAAAATTAAGTCAAGGTTCTACACGGAAATAAATCTGAGAATGTTTGTGTTTATACTTTGAAAGCCAATGACCCGAAGCAGTGGCGCTTATTCTAAATTTGGATACATTTTTTGATCTTGTTAAAATTGTAATAATATTGTTAAAAAATTTAATATATTTTAAAGTTTGAATGAAATTGATTTATTCTTCTCTCTTTATTATAAATATGATATCTTGCTCTAGAATTGATCAATCAATGGCCATATTCATTTCCTTTTTGATCCACGTTTCGTCTAAAATTGATAAATATCAATATCGACAATAGCTTCTCATCGTATAATTTCGTTCAATATATCTTACATATTAAATATAATTATAATATCATATACATAATATAACAAGTTCGACGTCTATAAACAATGAATTATTTAGTAATTTAGAAAACATCAAATATAATTCTAAAGTCACAAACACAACTAATCCTCTAGTCAGTAACCTGTCCATACCTCTTTATTCAAGATCTACATATCAACATATTACATAACAAGCATAAACAAGAAGTACATATTTAGTAATTTAAAAGACACAAAATACAGTTATAAGACCAAAACTAACACCTAGCATTATTTCAGCTATGTTTCCAGCAACATCTCCACACTATTCCATCCAACATCTACACATCAGCATATCACATAACACAGTCATACCATATCTCAAAGTTTGTCACGCGAAAATTATTGGTAAAAATAGTTTCGGGAAAACTAAACGTTGGACGACATTGTTCCGGAGGAAATATCGAAAGGTAGGAAAGTCTAGTTGTTTGTTACGTCGGGCGACCCTCTACCTGGATCAGGCCATACACCGCGGGCCAGACGGACACCAGATGTCCGCTCATCCTTACCGCATACTCTCAATAGTCTTAAGGAAATCTAAGGAATTTTCTACCTAAGATCCTTCAGACCTAACAAATATCTTTTTTCTAAATCGCTTCTTTAAGAATATTGACACGGGAAAGTTAGTTTTTCTCACGTACGATGCTTCCCACTAGCAGCTTTCCTGACCGGGCGACTAAAACCCTTCCTGGTCCATCAACCTTCTTATTATCCAATCGGAAGCGGTGTCTACTGCCTTCACTTTCCTAACCAAAATTGTCATCAACAAATCCGATGGTCCCTTGTTCTTAGACACACCCACCCCTATTTTTCCTCCGCCACAACATCGTCACTAAACTTACTTATTCTCTACCCTTAGAATAGTCAACATATGTTTACCGGTTTCTACCTTTAGACCAGTCGCGTACTTGATTTATACGTACGCGTCAGTGTATATTCAATTGTGACTATTAAGTGAAAAATAAAGCCTAATAGAAAAGAAAGTTAATGGTTGTGTTTCGGCTCAACCTTGTTTTTATCATATAACCCTCAAGTTTACGTGACAATCTCCTCGAGTCGCAGTTCGAACGTTTCACAAATAAGTTGAAAAAATTGAACTTTGTATATGATAATAAATCTTACTATGCAAATCCAACAGAATGACGGTTCAAAGTTATTGAGATATGTATAATTTTATGCGCTAGACTAGGTTAGGCGCGTAGTAGTAATGTATGCAAATATCAGTGTGTGGAAGTATGTGTGTGCGCGGCGTCTCGAAAACAAATGAATGTAAACTGTTCAGTCAGTCAACAGTCGGTCAACACTCGGTCAACAGTCGGCTATGGAAGGAAGTGCTGAGACGCGTGCGAGTGTGTATCGATGAATATCTTTGAAATCGCTTATCAAATAAATATATAACTATTCTAATATAAATTCCAAGTGTAAATTTAGTGTTCCTATACCATTATTTCGGCTATTAAGATCCAAAATTCTCAACAAAAGTGTTACAAGAGACTGGGCCGAGCGCGTATTTTGGAGCGTTTTCATACTGAGGTGTTAGTTCCTTTGGAGGGGTTGTCATCTGGTTATCTCTGAAGCGCCTATTCCGTTACCATTTGGTTATTGTTTCGATGGCTGTGGTATGCAGGATAGCGTTTTCGATTGGAAGCGTTGTAGTATTTCGATGTTGGAGTTACTTGCTGTTCCCCATAGTTGGATTCCGTAGGTCCAGACAGGTTTTATTACGGTCTTGTAGAGGGTAATTTAATCCTGTATGTTTAGTTTGGAGCGTCGGCCCGTGAGCCAATAGAGTTTTTTTAGTTTATCCTTTGGTTGCTTCGTTTTATCTGAGATGTGTTTCTTCCACGTTAGTCTCCTGTCCAGGGCCTGACCAAAAAATGTCATGAACAAATCCGATGGTCCCGTGCGCTAGACACACCCATCACTAGCTTTCCTACGACACAGCATCGTCACTGTACCTTACTTCCCCTACGCCATCAGGAGGGTCAAGTCAACTACTTCTTCTACACCGCTAGAAAAGTCAACTACTTGTTCTACAACGCTAGAAAAGTCAACAGGTCAGTAACGGGTTAATCAACTATAACAAAACTCTAAGAGCCTTGCTCTATCCTCAACGAATATTGTGCCAGTGTATCGCGTCTCTATACGCTAACTCATTGTCGACGGTGTAACTTAAGTGGAAAAAATATATAATTTATAATTCTGTGAATCACATTGTTATACAAACTGAATCGCCCCTATTATCTTAACGGAAATCAGGGGATCGATCAACTCGTGGCGTCGGTTATTATAATCGTAACGGGAATGTACGACTCCCGTTGACGTCTCTCCCCGCGATTGGTCGAAAATACACTAGTTCTTAAAAGGTATACCTTTCTCTCGAACTCTCTGAAACGAGATATCCCACATCGTAGCGTGATTAGTTAAGTACTACATATGTACAATAACATCCAACGACATTGGGCACATCTGGCATTCCTCTCGTTCAATCCTTTTATTCTTCCGTGATTTTCCATCGTTCATCCCATCTTCGGGTGAAAGGGTGTGTCCATGTTATATTCCCGCTGCCGAGTGGGGACACATTGTCGTCTAAACCGAGGAGGATAAATATAATTTATCGAAGCGATCCAGTGATACAGTTAGCGCCGTCTCACGCACGCAATCAGTTTTCGTTCATATTCCATAGTTGTCTGCCGAGGAACATGAATGCACGATTCAGTTTCGTAAAATTACAGAGTTATTGTAATTGCAGAAACAAATGATATTAAGCCAAGGAAAATAAACAAACAGATATCTACCGGCTTACTAATGTCATGATAAAGTCGAGTCGCGAGTGGGAATTTAGATAAAGATCTGGACAAGTGACGAAGAAAGTGCTTCTTCGCTCGCTCGAAGAGCAGAAACAATTTTCTTGTGTCGTTTGTATGTGCTTTCTGGTAAGAAATTCTAAAAAGCTACCGGTGCGAAATTATTGGAATTCCTATATTAAATAGTGTGCTGCTTATTAACATGGAAACCCGTCGACGAGCTGAGCACGGTTCTTGTAAGTGATTCGGCGAATTCATCATTTTTTTATTCTTCTATTTTTGCACATTCTTTGGAACAAATATTGATGTTTTGTATATAATGAATTCAATATTAGGAAGTTATAGGTACATACGCACGTGATCGACTTAATTTTTTACTTTCACACGTACATATTCATTTCGAATATCTGGAATATTACAGATTGTTCGAATTCAATAAAACATTAAATTATAGTAAGGATCTTAAGTTGAAATAAAACTCGAATGGGATTTTTGATGCTTTATTTTGCAAGTTTGTTATATTTTATTCAGGCTACATGTTTCATGATTTAAAATCTACCTTGGAAAATATATTGTTACGAAACTTTCTTCGCTCTCCTTATTTCGACGATAACAACATGGTATTATGTATTTGCGATGATGTTACGCACACCTACTTGCTGCTGTTCGTTTTGTTCTTTAACAATTACGAAAGTTGTACAAATTATTGATCATACGCTCATCTCCCTTATCACCTGAGATAGCTTAGAATTGATATACATCAGTATGAACAGTACTTATTTTTATTTAACCATTTCATGATTACGTTACATGTATGATATTATTAATATTTCATTAGTGAAATCTATAATATTCTTCTGTAATTAATTCTTCTATTTTGTTCTTCTAATTCTACCATATTACAATTTTTTATCATTCCGTGATAAAAATACTATCCAAAATAAAGTGTAGAATTTCCTAGATCCAATCATCCGACGTTGCTATATTTATACATTTGTATAGAAACCGGCGTGCAGTCAATGATTTCCAGGTAATAACAGGATACCGTGAATAATCTGTTATGAACACGAAGAATGCAATAATAAGAAAATAAGAACTTCCCATTGAAAACTCGCAGAAATTTTATAACGAAAAGGCGGCGCACAAACGAATGACGTTATTAATTGAGATTCTAGGACATTCGTATCTGGAGGTAATGGGCTTAACAACTCGGTACGATTTCTTGAAATTAATCTTTACGCGCATCACACTTCTTCAATGCGCATTGCCGACTAATTAATTGTTTCAACTATATCATGAAACCCTTTTGCTCCTGCGGAATATGCTCTTTGTTGGCTTATTTAATTTGTAGTCAGTATAATAATCCTCTAAGATGTTGGGTAAAATAGTAGAGAAGAAAAGCGGATAAATTACGTGAAACTTTATGACTGCTATATTTAGCTAAGTAAATTTTATATCTAGGTATTAAAATATTTTTCCATGGTTATTATTGGATATCTTTAAAACGGTACAAGAATCAATTCTAAAATTGTCGTTCCCTCGGGGCGATTGATTTTTCAGGCGGAATTCCTGCGAACTGCGATAAATCAAGCTTAGGTACCTTATATTGGAACGGTTTCTTGTAAATCAATCTCGCAGTTAAGAGTTTTTGTTTCGATCAAGGACAGGTTCGCCAAAATCTCTGTAGGCAAATTTTTAGGTAATGTTTACTTTTATGAGTAATTAAATAATAGTAGCGATAGTAGTTTATAAATAATCATCCAGATAATTTTCTAGACAATTATATAAAAGAAAGGTATTATAAATATGACGTAAAATTCTCATACTTCATAAAGAGAATAGAAACCATTCTGAGCATGCTATATTTGTTTATGATCAGTAATTTATCAACATGTTAGTCACACGCCTGATGTCGGTCGAAGCGAGGGTAATATCAAAACAAGTGAACAGTTTCATTTCAAAGTGAATTTTCACTGTAGGGATCAGGTTTTAAATAGATCAGTCGGTAGCAATACAAGTAGGTTAGGGATACCCTGACCATGACTGCGGGCGACGCGTTTCTCTTCGATGGAAATGATCCTGGACGCTTGCCATGAGAAGCCCATAAGTAAAATTACCTACCAGCTATATTGCTCCCCAGTTTTCTTTAGCGGAAATTATTTCGCGCCTATAACTTCTTTACGAGTCTTGTGTTTCAGAATGAAACTTTCCAAAATTTCTATATCATAAATTAACTTTCTGTTGCAACTTATAGCTACTGTATATGTTTTCCTATTATCCGCTTGATGAGCCTTTTATACGTAGTTACAAAATTTAAGGTGTTAAAAATGTTTACAAATCGTTAAAAGGACGATAAATTTGTTTGAACATCGGTCAAATATTAGTTTACATTTTCATCCGTTCTTTGATGTAGATGTATCATATGATGTAAACGAAGCTGTTGCAATTGCTGTTGCAAGAAGATACGTGATTGCTTTCGGTTTATCTTCGAAAATCCATAAAAATTCCGGAAATACATTTAAGAAAAGTTAAGTGAAACTAA